ATATCCAAATTATATGCTAAAACATGTATTTTCAAAGGTTCTTTTACATAATGGTATATATCCGTAGTTATGATATAAATAGAAGTAATATTATAAAAGTAATATAGTATCTTGCCAAGGGTTTTTGCTGCGAGGGAAATATTTTTTCCTGGATCAGGTATACCTAACAAGAGACTGAACTTGAAAATTAAGTTAATTTCATCATGTTCGTTTTGAATTTTTTAAATTTTGATCATGATTCTTTTAGGAGAAACATGTAAATTTCTTTTATTTGTATCACTTCTCGAATTTAGGGGATATGAATCTTCTTTAGAATAAGAGAGAGAGAATGTAATAAGAATTTCTTGAGAATATAATAAGAACTTCTTGTGAATCTAATAAGAGAACTATATAAATTCCTCTTTATTCATAACACTTCTCGAATTTCGGTGTTATGAATCTTCTTTAGAACAAGAGAGAGAGAGATAATCTAATAAGAATTCTGTGAGAATCTAATGAGAATTTCTTGAGAATGTAATAAGAGCTTCTTGAGAATGCAATAAAAACCGTATGAATTCCCTTTTATTTGTATCACTTCTCGATTTTCGGTTATAAATCTTCTTTAGAACAAGAGAGAGAGAATCTAATAAGAATTTCTTGAGAATCTAATAAGAACTCCTTGAGAATGCAATAATAACTGTATAAATTCACTTTAATTGTATCACTTCTAGGTTTCTTTAATGATATATAATATATAACAGAACTGACGTAATTACGTCATAATATAAGGTTTCTTGTATCGCTCACAAATCACCACTGACTAATAATATAGCAGAAAGTAATTGTGTTCATCTCCATATCATTTTCATTTAAATTTGTAAAAATGTTTGTCTTGTTTCTTATTTTGAATTCATGTTTGCAAATTACTGAGAATTACCGAACTTTTATGTTTCATAGCATAATACAATTTTGGGAATGAAAGGGGATAAGAATAAATGTAAAAATATGGAAAAAAAGCACTTAAGAAATTGGAATAACTTTTTATTATGGATGCTTCTTTTTATTGATAGAGCTTAGAAAAAGTAAGAGTACAGCAAAAATAATGGATTAAAACTAAGAGCAAATTACAGCATTGAAATATTGGATTCTGTTGCCAGATTTTCATTACTTTAAGAGCTGTTATTTTAATTTGTAATTGAAAACATATTACTAATAGTAGTAGTATCTTGTTGAACATGTTACTCGTTAAGTGCATTTTAAGGTATCCGACTACGTTCGGAAACGTGATTTCGCAAAAGCGTATAAATGGATAACATTCATGGTATTTAGTGTCACTTAGATTAGAAAATAAATATAAAATTGTTTTAAGAATAGTATTACAAGAAAAAAATTATTTAAGTACAATATTTTGACAAAAAATGACAGAATGATCCATTTTCAAAATATTTTCCCTTTTTGAAAAATGCTTCTATTATAATAATATTTTGCCTGTATATAGCCCAGACCTCAGTACAGAGGCTCAACTAGAATTTTTGAAATATGTAACTTAAAAGTGGATTTATCCATGTTTTACGACAACAGAGAGGAGAAATTTTAACAAAAAAATGCCGATAATATATTTCAATTGGCTGTAACTCTGAAAATAATGTGAATTTTTCAAGAAATCACATTTCAGACTCTCTGGAGAAGTCTCTGCTTTATATAAGCAAAATATTATTATTTCGGAAGCTTTTTTTATAAATACAGAACATTTTGAAAAAAGGTTGCTCTAAGTTGATTTTTTGCCAAAATATTGTATTTAAATAATTTTTTTGTCAAAATATCCCGAAAACAATTTTATACGTGTATTCTAATTTAAGTGACATTAAATATCATGAGCATTATCCATTTATGCGCTTTTTTAAAATCATGGTTCCGAACATAGTCGGATACCTTAAAGATTTGAAAATATAGAAATTTTGATTTTGCTTAGAATCTAGATCATCAGTACTCCATTTCCTCGCCAGGACACATACATGTAAAAGCTATTACCCTCGGGCCGCAACTTTAGGATTGGCGCAGGGGGGCTGCGTATAAGACGAGGACAATTAAAGAAATGAAAATTTATTAAAATATTTAACTCATTTTTGGAGAGAGAGAGATTTTATTTTAATACAATATTAACCTTTCTATCAAACACACACAAAATTGGTTTTATGCATTTTTTTTATCGAGTTATGAAGTAGTTTTGATTTCTTTTCATCTGTGATCAAGCCTTGATTTGCATTCTACTGTCGTAAAACTTATGCTGCAATGTACTTTAAAAATTTGATTTTAGTTTTGTCTAAGCCTCAGTTATTTTTAGTTAAAATATGAATTTATAATGGGCAGGATGGCAGCTAGAAGCTCGTACTAAATCTCAGACTGAAATCAGTATTATTTGCTTAAAATTCATTCAGACTTGCATGTTTCATTTGTAGTCAAATACTTTTTGATCTTATTGAAACAAATAGCGGTTTACAGAACGGAAGACCATTTCAGATTTTAATGGTTGATAAAAAGTAATAAGTATGTATTTTATAACATTCAAATATAGAAACACTAAAAGTCATTCTCAAAGAAAAAAAGATGCGCTCTGAAAATTGTAAGAAATGACGGCAGAAATCATCTAAAACTGTGCCAACATTTGATGAAAAAACTGAAATTCTGATATAATACAGCAAGGTCAATTATTTGACACTCAATCAGCTGTCCAACCTGAAGCAAGTTATAATTTAACATACAAGTTATGTTCTCTGAACAATTGCAGAAATTTTCAAGTACAAAATGTTCATTCTGTACTCTTTAAAGAATGAACTTTTATACAAGTCTTGTCTGACAGTCATGGAAATGTTTATTCAAGTTTTCAAGAGGAAGTAAAAAGCTCGCATGATACAAATATCAAGCTGGGTAGAGTCTTCTTATTCATAAGAGAAGGCCCTGATTCTTTGCTAACTCTTTCTTTTTACGTTAAACATGCCAAAAATAGATAAAAAATATATTTGCCCAGTGCATGTATATTTTATTGACAAAAAAATTGTAGATAAACATGCTTGAAACGTTATGTCAAGCAGCAAGAACAGATCACATAAAAATCGAAGACTTTCTAAAAAATAAAGACTATATTAATGTTTAATGTGTCATACGTTGGTATTTTTTAAAAACAAGGGGATTAGGGCGGGATTAGGTATACTTATTGATATCCTTAACATTGAGAGAAATATTGTTAAAGTACTGTCAGTATTCTGTAGGAATTATGGAAGCCGACAATGCGGGGTATCACATATGGAAAGAACATGTTGAATTTCCATAAAACATTTGGTAACATGGAAATGCATGCTGCCCTAATAATGTGAAGACAATCAATTAGAGAATATAAAATGAGATTTCAGATTCCGTACTGAGTGATGTCAACTAAAAAACACACAATTTTTAAAAGAAAATAACATGAATCTGATGTTAAAACTGAAAGACATGAGTTATTGAACTATATTGGAGTGAGGGTAACTTGCTAAAAACATAAGTAGGGAAGCTTAATTGATAAAAATATCAAGAATCTACAAAAGGTTTTAGAAAAAGGCCATCAAAGACAATGTAAAGGCACCAAAAAATGAAAACTTCAATCAATGCCTGCCTAATGCATTATTTGTAAACCCATGCATGGAAGAGGAATCTATAAAAATAAGCCCCAGAATTCACACACACACACACATACGTTCACAAAGGGGAGACACCATCATCCGCATCCAAAGTTGGTATCCATCAGAAGGCTATGTTGTGTTGTTGGTGAGACAGCAAGAGTATATAGTACACTATGAGTTGCTGAAAGAAAATGAAACGACCGTTGCTGTCTGCAACTTAATGTTTTCAATAAAGAAATGCAAGATAAAAAACAATCTTTGGCCAACAGAAAGAGTATGATTCTTCATCACGACAACGCTAGAATACACCTGGCACAAAAATTTGCATAATTGGATTAAGAAACGTTTATCTCAGTCAGCATAAACTCCGTATGTTGCACCATCTGACTCTCATCTGTTCAGGTCGCTGCAAAACTTTCTTGATGGTTAATAAATATATAAATTATGGTGATATTGAAATGACAGCGGAAGAATACTTTATCAGACGACTGCTTCTCTAGGGGATTAGAACAGCTGCCAAAACGCTGGAAGACAGTCTTAAATAACAAAGCACGTTGCATTTTAGACTAAATTTTAAATAAAAAAAATGAGATTTTTTTGTGTTTTCTTTAAAAAAATGACTGAGCTTTCTCTTACACCCAATATATAAAGCATTCTTCATAGCATGAAGAATGTACTTATGAACAGCAAACATTAGGGATATCTGTGTTCCACAATTATAAAATAAAAAATCGTGTGAAAACTAAAATTGAAAATTAAAACAAAATTCATCTATTCTCACATTCTGTTTAGTATTATGCTTAGATATATACGCAATAAAAATATATGTCATTTTTTGGAACATTTTGCGCAAAAATATTGACTACTTAAAGGGGTTAAAATATTAAGGTAATAGCAAAGTCAGGTTTGGTAGTGTTTTGAAGTAGTAGTGTTTTGAAAATTATATCTCTTCCCCCAAAAAACTGTAATAGCATTTATGGTCAATTAGGTATATTATATTCAACCTGTAACATTCAGCATTTTATTTATAGATTATGATGTGAACTATATATGAACAAACCTTTAACAAGTAATGTAAAAAAATAATAATAAGTCAATTCCTACTTAGGACAGCAAAGAAAAATTTTATTTTAGTTACTTTTTACTAAAAATTACAATTAATATTGATATGTATATACATATGACAGAATCACAATATTAAGTGACAAAATAGAAAGCGATTTTCCTTGCAATTTTCCAGTTTCCTTTCTATACAGGGTGTTGGAATATTATTTTTGTTTGTTGATATTTATTCATTAATTAAATTTAAATTTTCCAACAAAATAATATAGTAAAAAGAAACCACATTATCAGAAATTAGGCCATCCCAGGTGGGATTAGAACCCACGACCTTTGGATTGGAAGTCCAAAGCTCTATGAATAGCGCTACAGGGACACAGGAAGGGATTTTCCTTTTTATATATGGTGTTGGACTATTATTTTTGTTTGTTACTATTTATTAATTAAATTTAATAAATGAATTAATATTTAAAAAAGCTGTATTAACATCAAGTGTCATCCACTATAAGTTTAAGAAAATGTATTTGGACTTGAGTGGGTGAATAGAAAGTATTTTATGAACGATTAGAAATTTGAACAAGATATATATATAAGCAGAGTGTGAACATAATGGTAGGAATTGAAAAAGATTTTTTAAAAGTACTAGCTGATAAAGAGCCGATAAATATGCATACTATTTACATTGGAGCATTCTCATGATCCCAGAATATATATATATATATATATATATATATATATATATATATATATATATGCATGTGTTTATCATTAAATGTGATCAGCATAAAACTAAATGAATTTATTTACATTATTTCTATTAATGCTGAACTGAAAATATATATAAAAGAAAATATTTCAAGCAAAACGCACAAATTTTTTTCTTTAAAATTTAAATAGCCACAGTGGCGGAATGATGCACGTTGAATTAGTTGGGGTTTGAAGTTCTCACGTTGGTGTAGTGAGAAGTTTGGAGGGTGGAGGCCAGCTTAGATGTCATCATCGTCCCTTGACCCAGTTTCGAAAATAATGAGGTCCCTCTCCAATGCCTTTTCTCAGCTTCAAAGTCTGACGTTAATAAAAGAATAAAATAAAATCAACAAAAATTAGACTTTCTTAGAAGGTCGAATTTAATCTCTTCTCTGACGGAATTTTTTACGAATTTCTGACCTCAAAAAATCACTTTTTATTGCAGAAAAATTAACATATATTTTACCCTAAAATGAAAAAGCAACTTACTTTTATCAGTAAGCTGTTTTTTACTTGATTTATAGTGGAAAAATATGTGATATTCCGTTCGTTGATCTCCAGTTTTCCCAGCAATTGCTTTGGGGTGTTTAAGATAAATACATACAAAAAAAATAATAAAAATATTTGTTTAAAAATATTTTGAATAATTTATTTAGAATAATATATTTGCAAATAATACCGTTATTAAAACTGAATTACAACCTTCCTTCGACATTCAGAGCGTAAAAATCACATTGGTCTCAAAACCGAAATCATGTATTAATATTACTTTTCACCTACTTTGTCAGACAAAATTTGGATAATAAATATCAAAAATATCTGGAATGGTATTTTTTATTTGAAATTTTAACAGATATCTCGAGATTCGTTAGATATTATTAATGATAGATTCCAGGTGGGAAATCTCACTGCGATAATTGCGAAGTAAGTAATTCTAGTTGCACCATCTCGTAGAAATATTCAGAAATATTAAAATATCACGGGAATTAAAAAGAAGTGTAAATAGGGACGCTAATTCAGTTTCAAGTATAAGATTTATCACGACAGTACGGGCACAAATATGCCAAACGTATGACATGTAACGCCGACAGAGAAGGGGTTAATGATCCGTGGGATGGGTGAAATTTCTGGGTTCTTTCTAGGTAAATCAATTATACAGTTAATATAAATTCAAATATTAAAAAAATAACTAAAAATACTTGTATTAGTAAATTGTGTCTGTTTAAAGGATAAGGAGTTGGCTTCATGATCCCTTTTCGGTTTTGAATGTATTTTAACTGTCCTGGAAACAGATAGGTTGAGCGATAGGTTAATTTTTCCGGTTGATAACCTCCTGTACTGATTTTTTTTGACAATACCAAAATAAATTTATTTTATTTCATTCAGGACAAGTGAAAACTTGTTCTAAAAACATTACAACAATCATTTATTTCACTTAGTACGTCATGCTTTTAGGTTCTGTACTATCTAGAGCTCTCTTAAAATTCGTTTCACGTCCAGCAATCATTAATTAAATCATTCCTTCGAACGACCGCTTATATTATTGAGAACTGGACATTCCATATCTACATCTATCAATTATTATTCATGATTGTATCACATATATGACTTCATTGCGTCATTCTTTTTCCTAAAACCGATGTTTCATATTTCTATCTTTTTTAGTTCTACCCCCACCCCCCTTTATCCCGGTAAAGTGCAAGTTGGTTCATTTAAATTTTTATTCAAAATTTGTATTCTCCCCCCTATTTTTGCATGAGATCTTTTGAATTTAAATTCAAGATCTCCTTGTCTCGGGTCGTTTATTTTCGGATCGACCCAATCCATTTCCACGCCCACTTCTCAAGCGAACGGCCTCGGCCAATCAGATCGCAGGAAAGTTACTTACAGATTCACTCTGTCCCCGTTCCAGCAGAATTGTTCTGCCCATTTTTATTATATCTTTTAAATTCATTTTAAGTAATCCCATTAATTCGGCTCTTAATTCTAAAATTCTGATGAGGAGGTACGTCCCGTTCCGGGACAGGCACTCCGTATGTTACATGCCACTTGCCACTTTCATGCTTTTAGGAAACTGCAGCAGCAGCAAAAAAAAAAAACCCACAAGTAATATATAAAAAAATTTCAGTCAATTCCTACTTAGATCAACAAAGAAAATTTTTAGTTTAGCTACTTTTTATATAGAGAGTGTGAGCTAATTGTAGGAATTGAAAAAAAAACCACCAGCAGCCTTCTAAAATGATTGAAGTCAATTCCAATATTTTAAACAGAAATCAGTATATTACGAAGTATGGTGCTATAATCTTGGATAATTTATTCTAGAAATGGTTGGAGATATTTAGCTCTCAGATAACTTTAACCCCTTAACTGTTTTGCAGGTACTCTGAACGGGCTAAAGGAAATATGGCTACAACCGGTTAGCCCGTACACTATGTGGGCACTGATATTTTCTTTTTTCTATATTTAATTTGCACATTTTTTTTAACCTTGTAGTGAGATAATTAGTGCTAGTGTTTTTAAGCGATACAGTTTGCCCATGATATTGAAATACTTCTCATCCGGGATTTTCTTTGTGGTGAAGGCTGGAATTTTTCATTGAAGGTAGGAATTTGGATACTTTAAGACATTCGATGAAGAACATGGATTGACAAGAAAATGTGCAATTTGTTGCTTGAGAAAAAAGGAAAATGGTAATATAATCTCCTCCCCCAATAAAAAAGCCGATATATTTCTGTTCCGATTGTAATGCAAAACTGCGTATTACACCATGCTTCAAACTGTGTGTGTATATATACACTGGTGTGCAAATATTAAGGACGAGACTGTTTTTTCAATATAACTTTGTACAAAAGCTTTCCAAATAAACAAATTTAATACCGTAAGATCCCCAATACGTAAGGACATGTGTAATATGTAAGCAACACTTACTAAAAGAGAAATCAGAGGGATAAAAAGAAGCTTGATTGAAAAAGTAGCATGGAGCGCAATGCGACTGAAGGCCGAAACATCCCTGTGATGGGTGTACAGCAAGAAACATCCGGTCTTTAGTAGGGGATATGATCTCCCCTGACTGCTAGGCAGGTTTCACAGCGTCTGCCCATGCTGAGAATGAGGGTGTCAATGAGTTGTTGAGGCATTGCTGCCCATTCGTCTTGCAGCGCCAATCGAAGTTCCCGAATCATTACAGGTGGTAAGGTACGAGCTGCCAAGCGTCTGTCTAGAAAATCCCATACATGCTCGATGGGATTGAGATCCGGAGATCGTGCCGGCCAATCCCTACGTTCAATATCCTCACTCTCTAAGAGCTGTTCGGCAGCTACTGTGCAATGACATGGTGCATTGTCGTCCATGAAAAGAAACTTCAGACCCATAGCGCCTCTAAAAAGACGCACATATGGAAGAAGAATCTCGTTACAATAACGGGTCCTGTTGACTGAGCCTGCGTCGAAGATGTGAAGGTCTGTACGACTACCAAGCATGATGCCTCCCCAAACGAGAACACCGCGACCTCCATACCTGTCCCTTTTAAGGTATCTGACTGCTTGCGACAACTTTTTTTTTGAAAAAAAAAAGGAGATATGGAGATCTTTTTGTGATTTTTATATTTATTTAGTATATTTTAAGGAAAAAATCCTAAAATTGGTAAAAGAAAAAAATTATTATTATTAAAAGGGGAAAAAAACTAGTAAAAATGTACGAAAAATTACATAAACGGGGCCCGCTCTGTACAAAGATTTTATGAACAAATTCTCAATTTTTCAATTTTGATGTGTTACTTTGTTATTCCTGTTTGAAGTGATCTTCACGATAAGAGATATTTTAATTTTTACAAAAACTAGAGCACTTTATCTAAGTCATTATACGAAATTGCTTAAAAACATTGACTATATTCACATAAAGAACTGCAAATTTTGAAATAAAACAGTGATTGATAAATCTGAAGATCAAAACACTTCCTGTTATGCAGAACATAAGCAAAAATTTCAGCTAATTATTTTCAAAACTTTTTGAGCAATCGCGGTCCCGTTTGAGTTTTTCGAAAAAAACATTTCGAGTAAAACGCAATTTAAAGTTTGACATATTGTGTAAAGTTATGGCATTTGCTTTTACTAAAACGCTTGTAGTTTTTGTTCTAGTGGAGGGAAAATAAAATACTTGGTATTGTTATTAAGTTAATAAAATGGTCTATAAAATAAAGTCATAAACAATTTGCCAATTTTTGAAAAAATCATGCGGATACCTTAATGATGTTCTGATTGCGGCTTCCCCTCTCTCCAGATGAGTATGCGATGAGAATCGTTCAAACTGAATCTGCTCTCATCTGTAAAGAGTACTCGTCCCCATTCATTGTCTCTCCAATTCCGGTGTTCCCGGCACCACAGAGAACGCCTCTCCGATGGGCAGGCGTTAAAGGGCGTCGTGCAAACAGACCACCACCGTGCAGTCTTCTGGCCACGGTAAAACACGATATCGGTCGTCCAGTCGCCTGTGTCGTGTGTCTAGCGATTTCTCCCGCTGCCTGCCGTCTGTTTCTTCTGGCCTGTAAGACAATGTACCGGTCATCTGAGGGTGTGGTTCCTCGTGGACGACCACTACTGAACCCCCGGATAGCTGTTCCTGTAGTTTGAA